CCTGTTCACATATAATTGCAGTTTGTAAAGCACCATTAGCATGCACAGCATTTTATGCAACAGCTAGAAAACAAGCTCCTTGCCCAGTGCTTCTTCCTCTTAAGCCCTGTCAATGCTACAAACAGTGTTGCCAACTCTCATGATTTTATCACAAATCCCCAGCTCCCAGAAGCTTGTGATTATGTGATAGAGAGCTGAGTTTTTTTTTTTTTTAAATAAACAAACTTTTGGCCCACATGGTTGTGGAGAAAAGCTTGAAAATATGACCCTGAAAGGTTATAACAGCAGAAGACAAAAAGAATTCAGAAGTTATTTTTAAAAATTGCATGATTTTTTGGGCCTGACTCATGATTTTTGAATGTGTGGGGTCGGCAACGCTGAACTAACCAGAAATAGTCATGGTTTCTGCCAAACTTTTTATTTCATAGCCTTTTTATTAAAATATTTTTAAACAAAATACCTTATAATTAAACAGACAGCTACAAATATCCCATAAGAACGGCCGTACCAGGTCAGACCAAAGGTCCATCTATCCTGTCTACCGACAGTGGCCAATGCCAGGTGCCCCAGAGGGAGTGAACCTAACAGGTAATGATCAAGTGATCTTTCTCCTACCATCCATCTCCACCCTCTGACAAACAGAGGCTAGGGACACCATTCCTTACCCATCCTGGCTAATAGCCATTAACGGACTTAACCTCCATGAATTTATCCAGTTCTCTTTTAAACGCTGTTATAGTCCTAGCCTTCACAACCTCCTCAGGTAGTGAGTTCCACAAGTTGACTGTGCGCTGTGTGAAGAAGAACTTCCTTGTATTTGTTTTAAATCTGCTGCCTATTAATTTCATTTGATGACCCCTAGTTCTTGTATTATGGGAATAAGTAAATAACTTTTCCTTATCCACTTTCTCCACACCACTCATGATTTCATATACCTCTATCATATCCCCCCTTAGTCTCCTCTTTTCCAAGCTGAAAAGTCCTAGCCTCTTTAATCTCTCCTCATATGGGACCCGTTCCAAACCCCTAATCATTTTAATTGCCCTTTTCTGAACCTTTTCTAGTGCCAGTATATCTTTTTTGAGATCTACTCAATTTAACATGACTATCCAATGCCACACAGGCCTAAACAGAGGAACAACTAATATATTGTTCAGGATAATATGGTGTACATTGTTTAGAGTTCTACAGTACTAGCTAGAACAATGGATTGTCATATTGGGACCTGACATATGCCCCCTGAAGTCAGTCTAAGCATGGCCCCAATTCAGGCAAGGATGTGCTTGAAGTTAAGCTGTTCAGCTTTGCCCAGGCCGCACTGAGATCAACACAATTCAGCAGCAAAGCAGATGCCAAAGCTCAAGCTCATTGACAGCACATGGCTGTGTGGTGGAAAAGAGAAAGTTGTATGGACACAATTCAACTGCGGTGGTTGTAACTGGGTCACAGCGAGTCAGCGGCAGGGCCAGGGACTCAGTCTCCAGCCTGATGCATTTTCCATTAGCGCATTTTGACAATAGCCAAGACAAGACTAACTATTGTGGGACTTAGACCTACTGAATGTCATTAGTTCTTGTGTATATAAAAAAAGGGGGAGTCCTTTTGGCACCTTAGAAACTAACCAATTTCTTTGGGCATAAACTTTCGTGGGCTAGAGCGCACTTCAGATGTATGAAGTAAAAAATACACGAGTAGGTATAAATACAGGAAAGGATGGGGGGTGCTTTACCAAGTGTGAGGTCAGTCTAATGAGATAAATCAATTAACCACAAGATACCAAGGGAGGAAAAATAACTTTTGAAGTGGTAAGAGAGTGGCCCATTACAGACAGTTTTGACAAGAAGGTGTGAGTAACAGTAGGGAGAAATTAGTATTGGGGAAATTAAGTTTAGGTTTTGTAATGACCCAACCATTCCCAGGCTTTATTCAGGCCTAATCTGATGGTATCTAGTTTGCAAATTAATTCCTGTTCTTAATAATTAATTAGTTCTAGTTCTTGTGTGTCTGAGTTTAAGTGCTTTCCTGAATTGGGGTCTATACCAGTTCCAGTCTCTTAGCTGATTAGTAGCTTCCTCAGTATATTCATCAGGCTTAGAGGTTTAAGGTAGTTAATAAATTCTTTCTAGCAGGTTTCAACGGATGGGTGTGTCCCAGAACGCAGGTCCCCTCACAAATCCAGCATTGTCATTGATAATTCCAAGCAGTCACAGCTCTGTCATGAACTGCTGCGTAGTTCCCATCATCTCATAAGAGACTTGTTGAATTTGGGACCAGAAAAAAAGAACTTTGGTGAAAGCTACTGGTAACAGCATAAAGCAATCCTAGGCAGACCATAGTTAAAATTTAATCAACTAATCTTTAGTTCTATACATAGATAATGAGGAGATGAATGCAGTAAACTACATTCTCCCCTTTCCAATTTTTCTTTTCTACAAAGCGTCATAAAAATGTTAGATTTTCTAGACACTTAAATATTTCCATTGCTAAGATATTATAATTCAGGTACTCCTTGCTCAATTAAATCATTTCTATCAAATTTGAAGTTATCTAGTCCTAAAGCCTAATCCACATTTTTAATCCAATAAACTGTTGCTTATGGATTTTATAGGGGGGACCAAAAATCAGGTTTATAATGGAAATTCACTGCAAATACGGAGTGGCAACTGCTGCTCCATATAATAATGTGACTTTGTTTGTGTATGAGTAAAGCAAGCAGATTTGATCGTAAGTTTTCAGTCCTACTGTTAGCCCTAGAACCAATGCAGCTATGCGAGAGGGAGGTGGATTCTAGTGCACCCTGTACATCACCAAATTGCCACTAAATACTGTTTGGATCATAGAATTTTTTCCACAGATGACGGTGTAAGAAGCAGAAGAATCTTAGCTGGATTTTTAAATCCCAGGAGGAGCAGTTAGAAAAAAAGTGTCTTCATTTGAGATGAAAAATCATCCACAGAGGAGTCAGTTTTAGGTCTGTCTACATTACAATTTTGACCCATTTTGTAAGCAATTAGTGGCACAGATGGATCTGAACATAGTTTGTGTTCACAGATCACAGAGTTTATCTACCTTAGGTACTTACCCTACTGCCACAGTATCTGAGCAGCACCTCACAGCCTTTAACATATTTATCTTTACAACAGCCCGTAAGGCAGGCCAGGGCTATTATCTCCATTGTATAGAGAGGGAACTAAGGCAGATAGGCTAAGTGACTTGCCCAAGGTCACTGTCTTGTGGCAGAGCAGAGATTTCAGTCCCAGTCCCCTATGCCCTGGGCTATTGCCCTAACACTAGCCCTATCCTTCATACTCACAGGTTATGCCCACTCTAGGAGTGCTTTACTGGTATAGGAATACCTGTATATGGCAAAGCACACCTCGTATGGATGCAGCTAGCCCAGTAAAACTGTTTTGTGCCAGTAGAGTAAAACCTCAGACATACCCAGAGCAAAACGAGCTCTACTGGTAAATGCAATTTTTCCTGGCATAACGGCATCTACACTAGGGGCTTCTGTCAGCACAGCACATCTCTGACTGGCCTAGCAATGCCAGCCGAAGTCTGTAGAGTAGATCTGCCATCCATAACCAGAGAACCATGTTTCTCCCCCTACCAATGGCCTATGCTGGCACACAGATCTTTGCTTGTAATTTGTTCGTGTGTCTCTACAGCTGGTTTGGCCAGTCTTCCTCCTTCCCAGCTGCCTCATGCAGTAAGGTATCCCAGAGTGCATTGCTCCACATGCTGCTGCTTCAGGGTGTCTGCCCAGCACTCCTGCCTCTGCTGGGGCACTATGGGATAGCTGTTCAGATTTCCCCAGTATGCACGGAGATAAACATGGCTCAGCAGCAAAAAGCAGATGCAAAAGCTTAAGCTCAGTGACTGCACACGGCTGCGTGGTGAAAAAAAATTGCTGCATGTGCACAATTCAGTGGCGTCCATTATAAGTGGGTCAGATGACAAGACCATCCACGTACTTGTGATCGAGACAAATTTCACACCTTGAGAGCGAGAGAGATGGGGTGAGAACAAAGCTCACATGTTTGCCAAATCAGCTGGGAGGGAGGTGGAATTTCACACTTTGGGTGCGTCTGTGGTCTAGCTGGAGGCAGTTTTCTGCATGGCTCAGTTAAGACGATGCCTAGACGCCTTCTTTGCAGGGAAACGGGCTAGAAACCAGATTTTGCTGTACATGAAAGATAATGCTCTTGCCAGAAGCGGCTTTACGAACGAACAGCTTTCGGTAGGTGCTAATGGAAAATGCATCAGGCTGGAGATTTAGTATTCCTGGCTCTACTGCGGACTCACTGTGACACTTTCAGCAGGTCCCTTCCTTGCTGTGTGCCTCAGTTTCCCCATCTGTAACGTGGGGGCAAAAAAAATGTTGACCTGTCTTTGCAAAGAGTTTTGAGCTCTTTGGCTGACAAGTGATCTACCTACCTACGAGGCCACTCAGTAAGGTCGGGCCGCCTGGTTTTCGGTATCTAAAGATCAGGATGCTAATGATATCTAGTACTTTACCTGAGGAGCTTGCAAAAATCAGGTGCTGCTCCTGCAAGCTGATTCCCACGGATACAGAGCCCCTTGGAGGGGTTGCAGCACAGCGAGAGCTATTGAATTGTATTCAAACCCAATATCAATTGTCCCTATAACAGTCGATGCACACCACTGACTAGAGCCACTGACACCAGATGCTGGTCCCAGTGAAGAGACAATGCCATAAACAGTCAATACCACTCCTCCCAAGACATACGGGCCTCTCAAATGCTTCAGCTAGTGCCATCTAATGGAATAGGCAGTTCTGCTTAATTTCCCACCAGATGCTTCAGTCACGAGGCAGAGTAGAAACAGTTGCCTGGGTCTTTAGTTTGTAGGGGGATTTATTTGCACCTCATAATTCTTTTGTGCAGAGTTAGCAAGAGACTTTGTGGTGGACATTGACTATGCAATGAAACGTCATCCAGCGCAAGTGTCCGTACATTAGCAGCAGAACACCACCTTACCTTGCACAGCACAGGAGCTATGTTCACTGATCACCCCCGTATTGTTCTCTTTGCTGGCTGACCACTGGTATATGAACAGGGTAGTGCGGGATGGGCCAGCGTCCAGCACGATGCCGTACTGAAAAACACAAAGGTCATAAATAGATACGCTCCCAAAGACACGCATTTGTGCACTGGTTTGTTATTATGGGGTTGCTCGGCTGCACACATACTCAGCATTGTCGACTCCAAGTGTAACTTAAGAGCATCCCAGTGCTTACCGGTGTCAGGAAACGAGTTTCAGATGCCTTGACCAGTTCAATGTACCTCAACTCATAATCTGTATCTAATATGTGGGATGTAATAAATCCTTGGAAAACTAATAACTTACTGATCATGAATATTCTTGTATGGTTAAAAAAAACCCACAAGGAGTCCTTCGTGTTTAGCTGATACAGACTAATACGGCTACCATGGACTCTTGTGTGGTGTATATAGGGCAGTGGTCACCAGCCAGTAGATTGCGATCGGCTGGTTGATCGTTGAGCCTCTGACAGTCAATCTCAGTCTGAGTCTAGGGTTGCCAACCCTCCCGGTTTCACTGGGGGTCTCCCAGAATTGGGCTTGGTCTCCCAGAGGCTCCTGCAATCAAACCGGGAGATTGGCCACTAACAGTCTGGCAGCACAGTGGGGCTAAGGCAGGCTCCCTCCCTGCCCTGGCCCCACACTGCTCCCAAAAGTGGCTGGCTGGGGGAGGGCAGGGGGTCTCCGCACGTTGTCCTCACCTGCGTGCACCGCCCCTGCAGCTCCCATTGGCCAGGAACAGGGAACACTGTCTACATGGGTGCTTTCCAGTGATGAAACTTGTTGCACTCGGGAAGGGGGTGTTTTTTCACCTCCCTCCTTCCACCCCGAGCGAGAAAGTTGCAGTGCTGTAAATTGCCAGTGTAGACAAGCCCAGAGACAGGACTTTTAGCTCAGACAAGAAGCATTAAGATCTAGAAGTCCCAGTCCGAATCCCTGCTGCCAGCAAGCCACCCAGAGGTGATGGTGCTATACAACCATTTCAGAATCATGACTCCAACCACAAAGAAATCCAGGAGATTGGCTTAAATCATGAGATAAAAAGAACCCCCACCCCCCCTTTTTTTTTATTTAATCTTTTCATTCTGGTTTCAGGGCCTCAGTTTCACTCACATCATGTTTTCAAGCTTCTCTACAACACTGAAGGCTAGAAACTTAGCTTTATTTTTAATGTTCATGTGATTCCAGGAGCTGGGGCTTGAAGAAAAATGCCAAATAGCAGAGAGTTGTGGTAAAAATCACAAGAGCGGGCAGCAAGGGGAGGAACTCTACGTGTGAAGAAATACATGTCTTAGGAGCACAATGAGGGAATGTCTATTAGATGCGGTTTGCCTAATGCACCAACTGGCCTTGTAAATGTCACTATCATAGTTGTTTTCAGGCCCTTCCCCACCCCTGTCCCCCTCAGAAGTTTGCAATGATCCTATGGAAGCAAAAAAAAAAACAACAACAAAAAAATCAGATCTGCCTCCACCTTCCTTACCGGGAATGTTTTATCTCTAGCAAACCCGCACTTTGGTTTGTTACTGTAGGGTTACTCAGTAAGGAGGGCTGAGTTGTGCACAGTGCTTTATGATTCTAATTAAAACTTGGCAAGTACTGCAAGAAAATTCCTGGCCAGTTGAAATTTCACACAAGCTCGTGTGAGCAGTTTTTGATCCTTGTGCATGCTTCAGGGTAACTGCAAAAAGCAAACAAATTCACTGGGAAGGATGTTCCTGAACCATGTTTTAGGGCAAGCAAATGCCACCAAATAATAATCCCAGAAAGTTTCAAATTCGTAACAGTGAGCATTTGCACTAGCAGTCCTGATTCTCATCTAATCAGGGAGCAACATAACATGATCAACATGCCCAGTCAGAAATGCTCAGGTTGGAATTTTTAGAATCCTATAGGATTCGGTCACCCAGCTCCTGTTGAAAGTTGATATAAATTGGGTGCCTAAATCCTGTCAGCCCTTTGAAATCCCAACTTCCAAGTCCAAAATGTGAATTTGGAATGTTCAAAGCAGGGGTTCTCAAACTGGGGTCAGGACCCCTCGGGGGGGGGGTCACAGGGTTATTACAGGGGTGGAGGCTGACAAGCTTGCAATCCCACCCCCACCCCCCAAAACCTACTTTGCCTCCAGCATTTATAATAGTGTTATAAATAAATAATATATGGAGATATACCTATCTCATAGAAGTGGAAGGGACCTTGAAAGGTCATTGAGTCCAACCCCCTGCCTTCACTAGCAGGACCAAGTACTGATTTTTGCCCCAGATCCCTAAGTAGCCCTCTCAAGGATTGAACTTACAACCCTGGGTTTAGCAGGCCAATGCTCAAATCCACTGAGCTATTCCTCCCCCATGTTAAATATATTAAAAAGTGGTTTTAATTTATAAGGGGTGGGGTCAGACTCAGAAGCTTGCTATGTGAAAGGGGTCACCAGTACAAAAGTTTGAGAACCACTGGCTCAAAGTAATGGCCACTAAACCGTTTACCAGCAAGCCACAGGCTTAATTCTGTTTGCATATAAAGCTCACTCGTGTACATGAAGGTCACTCTCCACTGCTTAAGTCATTAAAGTGAGAGATTTACAAGTACTTTAAGGTCTCCATTTACACTGTGAATTGGCCTTGCTGTAAATCAGAATTGGGTCCTGGATACATTTTTGAACGCCATTTCCATGAATCTGTTCAATCTACTCGCAGACAAGCCACAAATAGAATGAAGGGCTAAATGTGACTCAAAATCTGCTGTGAGCAGTTCCCCCAGCCCTAGTTAGAAAGCGGTTAGTGAGCATTTGTAAGAGGCTTAGGATGACAGACACTGTAGAAGTGCTAAGTATTATTCCAGTCGCTGCTCTCCCAGCTATAATAGCAAACGCTTGCCGGTGAAAGTCACACAAGACTGTTTCATTATGCCCCCTACTCAAGGGAAATGAGGACCGCTGAACTATGAATCGATCTGTGCAGGAAATCACTTTCAAAAGTTTCCTATGCCGCACTGGGATGAAACCAAGACTTTTCAAGATGGTCATGAAAAACCAACAAGCGACACCGACCCCAGACTAGCCAATAGCCTGGTGGGGGAGGGCACTTCCTGTGATGTGGAGGACTCCAGGGTCACCCACATCGCTGATGAGTGCCCTTCCCACCAGGTTATTGGCTGTGATGGGAGGATTCCCTCCCTCCCATCCTGGACCTGAGAAACTTCCCCACGAAAGTTTCATCAGATCTGGCCATTTCCCCTGACAAGTTTCGATTTTCACAGATTGGAGGTTCCCCCATCAGCTCTAGCCAGAAGCCCTGTGCCACTAACGGTTCATTGTCAACAGGCAGGGCTCTGTCCTTGAGGCATAGGGATCTGAATTCCATCCCCTGCTGTCATGGTGATGTTCTGAGGCCACACTAAGTAGCAAGGTGACAGCACAAGGTTGTTACAGCATGTAGATCCCACTTTTACATGATCATAATTGCCCAGAGCAGCAGCTACTAGCCGGCTCCCCAGCCATATAAAGGCTTGCTTTGACTAAACTGCTAATAGCAGAGCACATGCTCTCACCAGTCCACACATCCAGCCCCCCACAGCCATCCTTCATCCCCATTCATTCACACTTACCAGACATCTAGAAGTCAGAGAACTAAACCCACTAGCTAAAGGCCATGACAAGAGATACCGTCCCAAGGCAAAGCCCAGGGGTGAAGCCAACTCTCTCCTCCCCCAGCTGCTGGAAAAGGGGATTGTGCTGAAAATCCTGTCGGTGCTGACCCTGCTTTGGGCTCTCATCTCTGGCAAACAAATACCTGATCGCTATTAAGCCATCCCCATCTCTATCACCTCTGCTGCTAGAGTTTTGTCTGTGTTTCCTAATTGCGGTGTGTTGAATGCTATGAGGGTGTGTGTGTGGGTGTAGTATCACTATTAATCTAACCCTCCCTTTGCTTTTCAGCTGGTGCAAAGAGGTAAAGTCTGAGGGTGGGAAAGAGTTTATTTTTGACTCAACCTCCATCCTGTGAATAGTTTCAGCCTCGCTGCTGCTGGCCAGAGCTATCCCAAGCATGGGCAGAATGAAACTGACCCGATTCTGATCGGTTTCACAGCTACCTGCAGGGTTCTAAATAGCAAAGTGAAAAGGGACAAAAGTGGTCAGTTTTCATTCATTTAACCTTGGGAAAGCTCTGAGCAGCACCAGACACACTGGCGCCGTCATTCTTCAGACTCAGGCAGGCATTGCTTCCTCAGTTACACTCTGTTCACATTTATAAGCTCATCTTTACAAACCTAACAGCTAGAAACTTTTTTTAAAATGAGAACATTGATTCTCCAAAAGTTGATAGCGCTTGTCTGGAGAAAGCTTCCTACTCTTCATGGAAAAGCAGATTTTTCAAGCCCTGCCTAATAAGCAAAGGCTAGACTATCTGGTGGGGGGAAAAAAACACCACAAAACCACAACTGTGCCACCATTGATAGTGTCACATTCAATGGGAATGCTTCCATGGATGTGAGCAAGGTTGAACTTGGAATAGGAAAGTGTAGGGCCCTCAACTGTGGAGGTTCTTCTAGCAAGAGATCATGGTCAAACTGAACAGCCGTTGGGGAGTTCAAATGAATGCTCAAACATTTTTTTGCACTATTTAGACGGCTTTACTCCTGGCTACAACCAAAGATGGAGCAAATGCAAAGTATTTTCATATCCTGTCCAAACTTTCTTCATATGTCAAATTAGAGGTCACTGGGGCACAATACCTGTACATTTCCTTATAATGCTGCTGTAGGGAGCGCCCAGGCAGTTCACAGTCATAACCAAATTCACAACCTACACACCATTGTAATAATCTTTGTACAAATATGCCTTGTAAGATATCATTTGAAAACTAATAACTCACTGGTCAATAATATGATGAAATGCATGCAGTAACATTATATGTAAAGTTATAAACATAAGCTGAAGTTAGGTCTGAAATAGGTTTACCAGACAAGTTTGGATAAATCTGTTTCTCAAGGACAGATCTTTGGCAAGGAAGGGGGGCAGGAACAAACAGATCTGCCTCTTAGCAAACAACAGCATGGAACCTCTCTCACCAGACTCCTTGACTGCAACCTCAAGGCAGGAATGAACTTTATCTAGGAGTAACTCTCAGGACAATGCATTTCAAAGGGGGAACAGGAGGACTTGTGGCACCTTAGAGACTAACAAATTTATTAGAGCATAAGCTTTCGTGGACTACAGCCCACTTCTTCGGATGCATATAGAAGTGAACATATATTTAGGAGATATATATAAATATATAAAACTTCTCCTAAATATATGTTCCATTCTATATGCATCCGAAGAAGTGGGCTGTAGTCCACGAAAGCTTATGCTCTAATAAATTTGTTAGTCTCTAAGGTGCCACAAGTCCTCCTGTTCTTCTTTTTGCGGATACAGACTAACACGGCTGCTACTCTGAAACTTTTCAAAGGGGGACTGGACTATGAAAGTGAGTGGCAAACACACCTCAAGTTCTCTCTCCCTATCCATCTCTCTCTCCTTTTCAGAGAGGATGACAAAAGGAACAGCCTTTGGGAGAGGATCCTGGACTGAGTTTGGTCAGCAGTGTTACTGGAAACACGTTGTAAGGGACTTCACCTTGAACCAAGTCTAGTTTGCTACGTTTAGTACTAGGAAGCATTTTATCTTTATTTCTCTTGTAACCATTTCTGACTTTAATTCCTTATGCTTCTACTCATTTAAAACCCAACTTGTTTTATTCTTTAAATCAAAACTAATCCAGTGTTGTGACTGTGTGCGTAACTCCATTTAAGGTAGCAAACTATTGTATGTAGATCCCCTTAGAGGGGCAAGGGACCTAACATATCTGAACGATCCAGGAGTGGGCTGGACAGTGTAGAACACACTTTGGGGCGGAGGGGGGGGGGGAGGAAATCAGAGATTGGGAGTATGTTGGGGTCACCCTACAAGTGGTAACCAAGGCTGTTGGAAGCCAGAGCGTGGCTGGAGTTGGCTGACAGGCTGCTGGGATCAGAGTTGCTGGACCAGGGCTGCGGCTTTACGCAGACACGCAGGGTGTTTGTGAGGAGCCCAGCAGCAAAGCATTGTGAGGCACCCCAGGTTGCAGGGCAGGGGTGACAACCCCTCGTTGGTCTGGACTGTACCCTGGAATGTCAGAGCAGTAAAGATATTGTACAAAAAGGAAGTTCACGGTTATTAGTGCCTGTTGCAGCTTCAAGGAGCCATATACCAGAGCAAGCTTTCTGCCTATGGCCCTTTGAAGAAAGGGGGGCAGGCACTCCTGAATTTTGCCACTAAGTTAATTTACTTACTGGTACAGTGTGTTTAACAGCATCAAACAAGGCAGTTAATGGATTTAGAGACAATGCTGCAACAGATGCAAGTCAAGCCCAAAGTAAAAAGACAGGCCCCCTTTTACAGGGTGACCACATTAGACAGGGATCGAGAATAGTCAGTGCGTGCGGATGTCAATATTCACCCTGGCACATCTTGCACGCCATATGCCAGGCTACGCCCACCTCTGCCGGCCATTCCTTACCTTGCACCTGGGAGGGTTCTGCACATCTTTAGTGGTGACACAAAGCAGCAGGATCCCAATCAGCCCAGCTAAGATCACCAGGGAAGGGGGAAGAAGCTCACGCCAAGACATCAGGCTCCTTTGCCTGCTTCTGTTAAGCAAAAGAGGAAGCTGTGGAGCAGCGAGCACAGAGACGGTGTCTGAAAGCTATTTGCAGCCTTCGGGGGTGGAGCCAGATGTTGGCTTTCAACACAGCTCAAGCCACAAGGCATAGACTGAGGCTTGGTGTGTGTGAAGTGGGGTCCTCTTTCCTACCACCACAGTAAATAATAATACAACTTTGTGCTTATTTAGTGTCTCCAATGCTCAAAGACATTAATGGAGCACGGGGTTAGTATTAGCCCATCTGTAGGTGGGTCTCTTCATCTGCCGGATGTTCTTTTCCTGTGTGACAGGATGAAGAGCTTACTTTAGGCCACTCTTAATTGATACCCTAAAGCCAAAGAAGTCATACATTCTCCTTGGAATGGCCATTGCTGCCTCCTTTATGCACAGTGTGACAAAGTTCCTCCTCTATCTTGGTGGGTCCTGCGCTTATTGGCAGATTTTCTTGCCTCAGAGATTCACCAGTTGTGTTGGGGAACAGCCCAGAGACCTTTCCCTCTGGAAGAGCCCACAGTCTAGATCAATTGGGAGGTTTGG